CTACAATGGATGACACAGCTCTTGGTGAGGGGGGACATATGGACTATCTCTTTATCATCTTGCAGGGAGGGAGTGTGGTGGATCTCCAGACGGCGGAGCGGAGTGAGTCATGATGTCACTTTTGTTCATCCACAGCTGGCAAACCAGGTACAACTCCTGGACCCGACCGGCTCCTACCGACTCCATGTTGAGAATCCTTATTATCGTGCAGTAGTTCGACAGTGTTTACGACGATGGCAACTTATACAAGATTCCACAAGCTTCTCTGAAACTTTCTATGATGTGAGTATTCCCTCTGTTACTTCCATGTATCAATATAATAGATACGCCATAATGGATCTCCAATTGCATCGTTTGAATTGGATGATAAGAACGTGTGGCACTTGCCAACTCAGGGAATGCTCACCTATACGGCAGTGTACATCCTCATATAGTTGATCACAGGAATAGAAGGACTTGCATAGATACCGACAGAAAGCCTCGGAAGCAGCTCTCGACCCCGGAACCTTGAATGACGATCTTGGGAGGGCCGCGAGGGAGACGCTGTCGGATGATCTCTTCCAGAGGCTAATACGATGGTAGGTTGGACTTACCACTTCATAACGTCTAGCTGTGTTACACCACCGAGACTCGCCTAGAGTAGTTATTTCTTCATATTGTTAATCAATGTGTAATGGGACATCGAGAGAAAGCAATGTTGGGATCATCTCACGGGGCTTGTTAGGATTAGATAACTCAACAAGAGTTATTAACAAGTGGTTCTTAACTTATGATCAATACAGTAATCATAAAGTATACGCTAGGCTAGCAAGGGAGACTAGTATCACAAGAATCTAAAAGTACAGAAGACACTTGTGTACGACATTTCCTCACGGGGCTCTTATACTGATAATATCATAACTATCGCGTGTTATCTGAAAGCGTAGCGGTGATTCAATCCTATGATCTCGCGGTAGCCAGGTGCTCGGAATAACCACTCAGCAAGAATGCCTAGATAGAACTTGAGTTCGCATCCCGTTATCTACTATTAGGGATAGCAACACCATAGCACTATTCCTATTGGTCAGTTACATGAGTTGCGGACAAGATACTTCCAGAAGGCCAATCATCAAGGCTCTTTCTAAGGACTTTGTCCTCACAGCATCACAGGTCACGATGCTCTTCCACGCTACTGTTAATGGCGAGTTTAAAGTAGCCACTACACTGCTGCAGCAGCCCTGACATCAGGAATTCTTATCTGTAGATACCATTGTTAAAGTCGCTCATGGACAACATCGCGGACCCAGCCAATGCCTTGTTCCTGGTAGAGTATCTATCCAAGAGCACAATACTCACCAAACATGTAACGCCTGAATTAACCGCAATCAGGGATGTAAGCTTTATGTAGCCGACGAATTATTCGACCTCCGCCTCGCCTATATCTAAGAAGACGCTGGTCAAAGGCAAAGTGAAGCCAACAGATTTCAAACTGTACTGCGCCTTCCGGCTCATCTCACTATCGAATTCTGATGGTAAATAGC